GAGCAGCCTCTCCAGCCACCCAGGCAGGAGCAGCCACAGGGCTAGTGCTTTGCAACCCGGCCTCAGTTCTGAGCCCTCCCACCTCCCTGCCCCTCACCCAGAGCCTGACGCTTCCGTGCTCTGCCTGGGAGGCAGTGTCCCCTAGTGGTTAGCTGAGCCCTGCACAGCTGAGGCCTGGTACCTCAGAAAACATCCTCTCTGCTGCCTTCTCCCTTGGCCTGCACCCCAACCCTGCTTCCCGGTCTAGCTCCCCTTCCTAGAATCTCCTTGATCACTAACTTCCTTAACTCCATATCACGGCTACTTGTCATGTATAAACCCAGCAAGCCCAGCAGCTGAAGCCCCGAATGGACCAGCCTGGGTACCCCCCAGAGAGGAAGGTCAAGGCAAGTCATCAGCTCCAGTCCCCATGCAACACCTGAGGTCACCTGCCATGGGATCTCAAGGTAGCCCTGCCCTTTTGCCCCGATGTTTCTCTTCCTGTCTTTCCTTGCGATTCTAGTTCATCCTTCCTACCCTCCTTTGGATACATCCTCCCCAGAAGCCACCTCCACACAAGCCTTCCAGGTGGGAGGGGGGTGACTGAGGTCTGGCCTCACACTTGGCTACCGGCTAGCCCAGAGGTACTGAATTTTGTTATCATTATTGTTTTGAGACAGGGGCTCCCTGTGTAGTCCTGGCTGACCTTGAACTATGTAAGTCTGTCTGCTGCCTGGAATTTTCTGAAATCCTACTGACTCACCCTCCTGAGCCCTGAGCGCTAGGATAGAAAGGTGTACCATGGTGCCCGCCTCAGGACTGCCTTTTCGGTTTGTTTTTGTTTGCTTTTAGAAGAGTCTCGCTAAATAGCTCTAGCTGTCCTGAAACTAGCTATGTAGACCAGGCTGGCCTCCAGCTTACAGAGATCTCCCTGTCTCTGCCTCCTAAGTGCTGGGCCAAGGCTGTTTCTGCTCTGGACTCTTGTTACACCTGGCTAGCTTCAATTCTCCAAAGTAAGAGAACAAATGAATAAATAAATGATCTAGAAAGAGGGGATAAGAACTGAGGAACAATCTCAACCTCCCTTCCCCCTGGACATCTCCAAAGTCCTCTCCCTCTGTGGAGTGAGGACACAGCACACACAAACCCCACAGTGGGAGCCCAAGAGCCAGGGCTGTGGAGAATCCAGCAAATATATTCCACAAAGCAAGAGGAAGCCCCAGAACCCTGACATCATCTGCAGTGACTTACCCTGGGGAGCAGCTTGGGCTCTGGGGGCCACGGGCAAGTGGCAGTAAACAGGATCTACCCAGCATATAGGCAAACACAGGCCTGCACAGGGACAGCCATTCAAGACACTCTGTGGTCCAACCGCCGCCAGGGAACACCAGGCCAGCCGAGGGTAGCGGATATGGCAGAGGTGCTGTTCTCTGCTTTGTCCACCCTGACCAACCAGTCTGCCTCTCCCAAGCCCTCAACAGTGCAGGGTGACCCCACCCTATAACAAACAACAGAATGCAGCTGCCCAGGCTCAGAGCAGAGCCAATCTGGGTTGTAGGGGAGATACACCAGGACATAGACACATAGGGTGTCAGGCCTCAAGAGCAACAGCCAGGGCAGAGGCTCCTACTTCCCACACCCTTCCAGAACCCTGTCTCTCCCTGCCATCCAGGGAGGCCTTAGGACCCTCAGGCATGCTTACACCTTCACATAGCACAGCTCATGAGGGGCATGAACTTGAAACCTCTCCCGTTGCTGTTGGATCCTCCCACAGTTACTTGGACTAGGAGGTACTGGTGAAGGAAGCTCAGCAGGACAGTAAGGAGCACTGGTGACCGTGGTAGGGGACTTAGTAGTCCTGCCTGCTTCCACGAGGCCTAAAGAAGCTAGCTGTAAGTGCAGGCCCACAGCAAAGGAAGGAATAGGCTACAGGGGACCCATGCTACTAGGCATGAACTCTGCTGGAGACTTGCAAATTTTACCTCATGGTAGGTGCCCAGAAACAAGCTCTGCTACTGCCCACTTCCCAGATGAGGGAACCCAGGCCCACAAATGTCAGTCTAGCTAAAGGCCAGCTGGAGAGGCAAAGGCGTCCTCCCCAGGAACCACCTAGGTCCTTAAGACCCTGAGCCAGCTTCCCAGTGTTCCAGGAACATAATCAACTGGTATGACAAGATGTTTGATGTCATTTCCAGATCCTGGGATGAGCCAGCCCAGCAGGACACCTCCTGGCACAGCCCCTGGCAAGCCCTTTCTCCAAGATCAGGCCACTTCGCAGTCCTGACTGAGGTGCTGAGAGTCAGCTGGGGATGGCCAACAGATGCCCAGACCCTAAGGCGCATTCAGCAAAGTCCCTGCCCAGCTCCCTACTACTATGGCTGGCTGTGTGCCACAACCTACACAGAAGGTGGCAATGCCCAGCTATCCCCAGAGGCCTGTTCATCCCATTCCCCTGCACCAAAGCATCTGCCTTTGTTTTGTTTTGTTATTTTCCAGAGAGGGTTTCTCTGGGTAGCCCTGGCTGTCCTGGAACTTGCTCTATAGACCAGGGTGGCCTCGAATTCAGAGATTCCCCTGCCTCTGCCTCCCAAGTGCTGGGATTAAAGGCATGCGCTATCATGCCTGGCTAAGCCTCTACTTCTTGATTTCTACCACAGCACTAGGCGTCAGCAGGCTGGCAGCCAGCTCAAGGCCTGCTTCTCCATCTCTTAAACACCTGAGGAGTCAGGCCCACCTAGAGCTCCCATCCCTCCCTCTAACTATACCCTAACATCACTTTGCCAGTCTTTTCTGTGTGCTGTCTTCCCCTACGCTCCCATTCTCAGAGTCATGGTGCCCGTCCCTCCTCACAGCTCACGGCTGTACCCTCCTTGACAGGCAGATTCCTAGAAGGGAGACTGCAGGCCTGGACACACACATAGCAAGTAGCATAGGCTTCAGTCTGCATAGAGCTGAGTCTCCAGGCCAAAACCCTGCTTGTACAGCCCAGACAGCAGGAAAAATGAAGAGGTAGCCCTCTTGCCTCTACTCCCTCCTTTTTAAACACCCTGAGTGGATCTCTTAGGGGCTTCCATGGGACTCCAAGGGAGACACGGTTGCTAACTGGATGGAGGAATCTAACCGCTTAACCTCCCAAGATCTCTGCCCATGCTTGCCCTGCCCTTACAGACAGACCCCAGCCCCAAGAGCAGGACCAGTCAAGACTTAAAGCAGATGGGCTCACATTTTACAAAGTAGTCCCTGTCCCCCAACTAAGGCCCAGGAGGCAGTTATAGCAGGCCATTTGTAACAGGAAAAAAACCTGAGGCACAAGAGGTCGAAGGACTTGCAACCAATGTATTGTAGAGTATGGATGCATGGACCCAAGTAGCTACATGGACTCAGCCTAGGTGAAGTCAGGCCCGCCATCATCTTCGTGTGGGCTGCAGAGCATAGCCTGCCTGGCTTCCACTCCGTAGGGGAGGTTCTGCCTGTAATCTTTCTGAGAACCAAAGTGGGATGTGCATACCTATTTTCTCCACACACACACACCACTAAAAAAGAAAGCCAGTCTCACCTCGCTCCTGGCTTATAACCCCTTTAACCTCATCTCCTCCTGCCCCTCAGACCTTCCAGAGACCCTCGCAGCCAGCCCAGCTAGGCAGCATCTCGTCCCAGGCACTGGCCCTGGCAGGCTGGGCCATTTCCATTTTAAACCTTCGGAGGAAGCCCTGAGCAGTCGCCCACGGCAGGCACCAGCTGACAGGTGATGTTTGTGCCTCTCCTCCTGGGGCTGGCAGGAAGACACGCAGTTGGCTTTCAACTCTAGAAACCCGAGCCTGGAGCCCCTGTGTGCAGTCGCCTTCCCCGGTGTTGGCAGGGAGGGGAGCCCCAGCCCACATCCCTCTACCAGGAGCTTCAGGGGTCCTGGATCCTGCTTTGCGTACACCTCCTCTCCCACCCAAACAGCTTCCCCCAACTCCTAAGCTACCTAGGGGTGATAAAGGGTGGGGCTGATCTCCACCCTCCAAAGGATGCAAGGGCGAAGATGAGGCAAGACTGGACCTTGTCACCCCTCACCTCTGTTCCCGTGTCTTGGCTTTATTTATTCACATCAGACCTCTCACTTGAGCCTCCCGGGCCTGGCATACCCCAGCTGAGCTGTGTTCTCTCTTAACCACACGCCCGGGAGAGCTTAGAAGCCCTCCCGGGGCCCCAGGAAGCCTGGGGCAGCTCCCTGATGTCGCCGCTTCACAACTTTGTCCTCCTCAGAGAGCTCTGATCTACCATGGCTCCCTACAGCTGGGCAACAACGCTCCCCAGCCTTCCGCCCCTGGGCCTCGGATCCCCACGAGGAGGGGCGTGCTCGCGGTCTGTTGCTTCCTTGTCTACAGAGCTTGGGGGTGGGGGGCCCTATGCGCGCCCCGAGCCCGTTAGTCCCTCCGTTCCACCTTTGCAGCCGCCAGGTGCACAGCCTCAGCCCCCGCCGGCACCAGGCTGCCAGTCCACAGCGCGCGCAGGGAGGGAAGTTGGAGGCTGCCTATGCCCCCCTTGAAGTCGTTTTAAAAATAAAACCTCGCTCTAACCGTGACTCACGCGGCTAGTGGGGACGAGAACGCGGCGCCGGGGCCGGCCGGCTGCCCTCGCCGCACGCGCCCCTCACCCTCCTTTTCCCGGGTGCGGGGCAGGAGATGGGACTGACCTGCTCAGCCCGGCGCCCCCCACGGGCCCGGCCGCCATCCCCCGGGTGCAGCCAGAGCTCGGCTCTGGGCTGCAAGCGAGCCCCCGCCCTTTCCAGCCTCCGCTCCAGGGAGCGGAGCCGCGGGCCGCGAACCCCGCGCCTCCCCGCGGCGGGGCCAGCACCACCCGCGTTGGGCTGTCGACTCCCGACCCCTTTACACCACGAACCCTAAAGGCTGCATGTCTCCCGCCACACCGGACCGACTCGGGCGGCGCGATCCGGCCCGATGCGTGCAGCGCGGCCCCCGCCCCGCGCGCCCCAGCGCCCCGTCCCGACCCTCGGCCCGCGCAGCTTGCCTTACCTGAGCAGCGGCCGGGGAGGCGGGTCTCCTCGGGAAACTTTGCGGCGACGGCTGGAGCCTCAGGGGTTATTCCAAGGAGCGGGCGGGAGCCCCAGCCGGAGGGCACCCAGGGGGGCCTGAGAGAGGAGCCCCCGGTGCGCGACGGAGCTCTGTGGCGGGCCCGGGGCGCGGGGCGCGCGGCGGCGCATCTGCCCGGCGGAGCGGCGGGAGGAGTGCGCGGGGTGGCGCCGGGCGGCGGGGTGCGTGTACCCGGGCGGGTGCGCTCGGCTGGGCGAGGGCAGCGGCGGCGGCGGCGAGCAGGGCGCGGGGAAGCAGGCTGTGCGGCCGCCTCTCCCCTCGCGGTGGCGGCGGCGGCGGGGCTGTGCGTGCAGCGCGGAGCGGGGAGGGCGGGAGCGGAGAGGGAGGCGGCGGGCGGGGAGGCGGGGGCGGGGGCGCCGCGCTGCGCACTGGCCGGCGGGACCCGGCGCGGGAGGCTGCGCCGCCGCGCGGGGACTCTGGCCCAGCCCGGGAGAAACGGCGTCCGCGCGTTCTCCTCCTCCTAGCCTCCGCTAAAATGTCTGGGGTGGGGGGCGGGGGAAGACGAGTTGGGGAGCTGGTTCCCCCCCCGCAGGGACCAGGGGGAGGGAGGATCCCAACACCAATCTCCAGGGCGGGAGGGTGGCTAGAAAAAAACGGGGTTCTGGTTCAGGTGCCTCCTCCCCGTACATCGATCCTCTCAGCACCCACTCATTCATCTATCCATATTCATTCATTCTGCTGTCCGCTGGAGCATTCATTCACAAACAGAACCCACCGCCTACTCTGCTTGCCCAGGTAACCCCATTCCTCGCTGTCAGGTGCCCCTTCCGGACTCAGACCCTGCTGGCTTGCAGCCCCTCCTGCACAGGCCCTCTCTAAACCCTTTGCTTTTCTCTAAGCAGGACCCCACTCTGATAGTAGGAGGGCTGGTTGGGTCAGATGCCAGCCCCCACTCTTCCCCTCCCCAAAGACTGACCTTCGAACAACTTAGGTAATCTCTTTAAACCTGAGTATAAAATGGGAGCGTTAGCCACTGACTCCCGGAGGGTTGAGGAGACCTGCAACTGTAAGGTGGTTGGGGGCGGAACTGACACGCTTTAGGATCTCAGAGAAAGTTGTTGTGGTGCCCTGGGGGCCCGAAGTGTGGATGAACCAGAGAGTTATTTAGCAGGGAAAATCGCCATTTGTAGCAACGGGGAACTCTAGCATTCCTCACTGCCCACCTCACCTACCTGGTGCAGACCTTATCACCTTGTGACAGAATTGGGTGGTCCCTTCCAGACTTAGGTGCCGCTAAGCTACTTCGAGCAAGTTCCTAACTCTACTTAGAACACGTGTGAGTTTCCCCACAGCTCCAAGGCCCATTCCTATACCTCCTTATAATCTGTCTAGGACTCCTGCCAACAGACCCACTCCAGGGTCTACCCCACCATCCCAACTCTAGAACCTTCCACAAGTCCAGCGCAGCCTGCACTCGGCATTGTTACCTTCCAAGGCTTCCCAGGCCACCTTCCTCAGGATGTCCACTATCACCCGTGAGGGAGGGTTTGATAATCTGCCTCCCTGCTCTTCCCAGAGCTGCCAGGGGCCTGCTGGAGAGCTGAGGCCTCTGATCCTCCAGCAGCAGCAGAAGCAGCAGCACTGCGTTTGCCCTTCCCACCCCTCCTCTTCACCTCCCAGCTCCCCTTCCTCCTTCCCTGGATTTGTACTCAATTCACTGAGCAGCTATTTTCCTTCCCAATTTTTATTTATCGCCCAAACAGCATTAAACCAACAATAAAGGAGGGAAAATCACCCACAATGCCACCTCCCTGTGGCGTCAACAGCCTCCCTTCCTCTGCTCCATTCCAGGCTTGTCCAGGCACAAAGCTTGCTATAATTTTCACAGAACTGTGGTTTCTGTTCCACCTCCCCAGACCCCCGATGGACTGGGGGGGGGGGGGCAGGGCTCCATCTCCACCGGTTCCTCCATCCTGTCACTTAGCATGTAGCTCAGGAACTCTGTGTGTCTTCCTCTTCTCCTAAACCACCCCCCCCCCTTAGCTCCCTGCCGCCCCGCGGCAGGCACCAGGCTGTCGCCAGGCAAGCACTTGGCCTCGCATGGGGTGGAGAATACGGATGGAACTCGACTTGACAGTCACACTTGCATATCAAAATATCACTATCATAATTGTGGCTGTAATGGCTGTGTGATGTTCCTCCCAGCTGATGGACCATAACTTGCTTAGCAATGTCTCCTGCACAACAATTCAGAGAACACTGGGCAAGTCCACTGTGTTGGCACCGTCTGGGAGACCAGAGAGACCATTACGAGCCAGGTTTCACTGGCCGAAAAGCTGTGATTCTAGAAAGGGGGCCCAGCACATGATCATGGCTGGGCAAGAGCTATCTAAAACAGGCTTCTCCACATGACCCCAGAGACTAGGGCCAAGTCAGCTGGGATACCAGACAGCTTCCTAGGAGCAGCGGTGTTGTCTTGGGTTTGGGGGAGGCCAGGGGAAAGGTTCCAGTTCAGGTGCAGCGGGAGCCCATTGCAGCCCTGCATGCCATAGTGGGAGTGCCTGGGTGCCCTTGATCTGGGGATCAGAGTGGTGTGCAGAGGCATGGCCATACGGACTGTGTAGGAACTTAACTCTGAGAAGTACAGCATCAACCAAAGACTAACTCCCGGACAGTGAAAATGTCCGCCGAGATCAGGAAATAGAGTTTGTTCATCAACAAATACTGGCTGAACCACACTGCATGCTACAGGCTACACGAGCACGCAGGATAATGGCAGCAGATAGAGTTAGTCCTATGAGCTGGGCCCCGGTGGGAGGCTCTCATCCTTGAGGGCAGAGCAAGTCACCCAGTAACATTTTGTGACTTCAGCCTTGAGCTGGCCAAGCCCGAGCTCCTCCACTTGGAGGGAGGCAATGACAAGAACAGCACCCTGCAGCTCAGAGTGGGCCCTCCCACAGGGCAGCAAGGTCAGCCTGGCCCTGCCTGCAGCCTCCCCCCCAGCCGAGGCTCCCTATCACCACCTTCTGTGTGCCACCTGATTGTTCAACAGCCAGTGATGCTCAGCACTGTCCCGTCCTCCCAGCCATATCTCCAGTTTCTTATACTAACGGGGCCATCACAGACTTTTTGTGGTTAATGTGACAGTCTGGAAAGTTCCTGGGGTGGTTTCTACACTATGAATTGTGGAGGTATCTGGACTTGGCAATAATATTAGACTGTTGTCAGCCAAGACTGGGCAAGCCTCAGCCTCTCATAGGCCTGTTCTGGGGTGGGGAAGGAAAGGGTTTCACCCAGCATCACAGGCACCTTACTCTAGGGATTCCAGAGACTCATGGTCACCGACTACCTGTCTCCCTCAAGTCCGGCAATGCCCGAGCATTCTTGGCATTTACATGGCTTTGTAAGCATATGGTCTGTGGGTGAGTTAGCTGTGCACACTGCTTCAGGGAGCACCTGGCTGGCACACCAGCCCTCACCTTCAAAAAGCACTCGGGTCTAAGACCCAGCTCTACTGCGCTTGTCCCCCCTCCCCCGCCAGTCTGTGTCCCATAGGCAGGACACAGAGGGTTGAGGCTTCTCACAGAAGGCAAGGTATCGTTCTATACAGGTAGCATGTGAGTCTCAGGTTAGTGTCTCAGAAAGCAAAACCTTCAACCTAAGGTAAGGCCCTAGAGAGAGATCCAGGAGCAGTCAGAAAAGGGGGCAAAGCCCCATGGCCTGAGGCAGGGATTGGGGGGAGCAAGGAGGAAGGGTCAGGACAGGGGCAGCTGCTGGTCAGGATCCACCTACTGAGCTGGCTCCAGCGCTGGCCTGTCCCCTGACACAAGGGCCCCACTTCTACACACTCTCTCTTCCCTGCCCAATCATTCGCCTGCAGACCAGAGCCTGGTATCCGGCCACTGAGTCCCCACCTCTTTCTCCTTCCTTGTTGGGGCTATAAGTGAATGCTATGGCCTGGGTAATTTATAAAGAAAAAGGGTTGCTTAGTGTAAGGATTGGGTACTTGCCAAGGGGTCACATCTGGTATAAGTTTCCTTACTTATGATTCTACAGAGTCCCCACAGTATCATGCGGCAAGACAGAGCAAGGAACCAATATGTCTCTCTTCTTTTTCTCTCTTTTTTGTTTGTATGTCTTAGTTTAGAGACAGAGCCTCATAAAGCCATTGCTAGCCTCAAACTAGCTACTCGAGGATGACCCTCGATCCTCCTGCGTTTACCTCCCTTACCACACCTGGCTATTTCTCACTTCTTAAAAAGCCAGTAATGGCTCCAGGTAGTGGTGGCACATGCGTTTAATCCCAGCACTCAGTGGGTAGAGGCAGGCAGATCACTGAGTTCAAGGCCAGCCTGGTCTACAGAGCCAGTTTCAGGATAGCCAGGGTTATACAGAGAAACTCTGTCTCGAAAAACAAAATGTAAATAAATAAAAAGCCACTAATGTTGGGGCTGGGGCTTAGCTCAGTGGTAGATCACTGGCTTAGCATATGCAAAGCCTTGAGTTTCATCCTGAACTCCCCCCAAAAAAGGAGAGAAAGTAATTCCATCATAAGAGTTCCATGACCACCTCTAACCCTGATTATAGCCCAGGGACCAGTACCTCGAAATGCCACTTTAGAGATTACTATGTGTTGTTTTTCTCATTCTGGAGATGGAACCCAGGGCCCTGTGGGTGCTGGGCCAGCACTCTACCACAGGGTTACATTTATACCATAGCCCTTGGTTTTAAGATCAAACTAAGGGAGCCGGAGAGATGACTTAGCAGTTAAGAGCATTGGCCTGGGTTCAGTTCACAGCACCCACACGGCAAGCTGGAACCTGCAACTGCAGTTCCAGGGGATCTAATACCTTCACATCAATGCACATAAGATTACTTTAAATAAATAAAGATCAAAGTGTGACTAGCCTTGAACTTCTGGAACTCCACCTCCTGATCACTGGCATTGCGGGTATGCCACCATGCCCTGTTTATGTGGTTGGCGCAGGGGATGGAACCTGGGGCTTCACGCATACTAGGGAAGCAGTCTGCCAACTGAGCCACACCCTGAGACCCCACAAAGTCTTAGAGGAAAAGTACTGCAGTATTTATTATATATGTGTGGGTTTGAGTGTGGGGGTCAGAAGACCACTTCCACATACATGTGGGTTTCAGGGTTGAGCTCAGGTTATCAGAGTTACCCAGACTCATCTTGCTGGCTCCAACAGTCTATTCTTGTGTTGCCCTTGGTGACGTGCTCTGTGACTGTCTTTCATGACCCCACTTCTCAGCTTCTCCTCAGCACTCTCACCTGTTAGAAGCTAGGTAGCTGATGACATCA